TTTTATTTTTAACTTCCCGCTAAAAATCTCAGATTTTCAAAAATCGGGAAGTTATTGTTTTCACCCCGTTTTGCAAAAATCGAGTTTTCATCAGATCTCGACGTTTTAAGGTCATAGGATGCTTTCCTGACTACCTCCGCAGTGGTGTCTGTATGTCTGTATGTATGTATGTGTGTGGATGTATGTAAACCTCTTATAACTTTTGAACGGCTTGACCGATTTGATCGCGGTTGGCGCCATTCGAAAGGGCTTGATCAAACTTATATTTTGTATATACTTTGGAACGATTCAGACCGCTAGATTTTGAGAAATCGCAAAAAAACTACAAAAAAAATTTTTTTCAAAAGTGGTTTTTTTGGAATAACTTTTAAACGGCTTTACCGATCAATTTCAAAAACTAATCAGCTCTTAACATCAAAAAACTACGTCGATCGCCGCCAGTCCGGTCAAAATCGGTTAATTCGTTCGTGAGTTATCGTTGACGAAAGAAAACCAAAAAAAGCGTTTTTTTGGAATTACTCCGAATTTTTCCACTCTGTCAATATAAACTCAAAGATTTTTTATGAAGCTTAAAAAACTGCGCTGAATGCCACCAACCGAGTGAAAATCGATTCATTCATTCAAAAGTTATTGCGATTTGAAAATAAAAAAAATAAAAAAAATAGTGTATTATCAAACTTCTATCAAACTTTTGAGCTCGAAGAGCTCAAAAGCATACAAAAACTATTTTTTTGAGCTCGGAGAGCTCTAAAACGTCATAAGTGCAATTTCAAGCGTTTAGGTATAGAATTGGCGGGAAGTTGCAGGGATGGCCTTCAGGGTCAACCGTATTTCTAATTTTTTTTAATATTTTTTATATGAATAAACAATGGGTGAACGGAGCTCCTCCAAAAGTTGGCATGTTGCTGACGTAAATGATAACTTGATAATAGCTCATCTAAAACACAAAAACCAATATAATATATCTTCAATGTATAAGTAGCTATGACAGGAACTATAGAGATGAATATTTATTGATAAAAAACAAAATGGCTGAGATTAAAAAAAAAACTTAAAAATGAGTTTTTTCCCCGGTTTTTAGGCCTAAAAAAATAGTAAAAATCAAAATTTTTATTTGGTTGTAATTCGTGCCATAGGTACTACTATGTAGAATATGTAGTTTAGATTTCATTAAGATCGGGTCAGTGGTTTCGGAGATATCATGTATGTCAACCAGATAAGCATAGTTCTGAGATAAACGCGTTTAAAGTTTTTTTTAATAAAAGAAAAAAATCTTACCTAAAGTCAAATCAGCGATACCAACACCATAAAAAATCTTTTCAGCTTGTTTGAAAATTTGATTTTCTTTCACTCGAATATCCACATAAACCTCGTAAAATAATATAGTTACAGTGGTCCAAACATTTAGAAATTCTAACACTATTCTAACACTATATACAGTACAACCTGGTTATAAGTTACATCGGATGATCTACTCACCCTCACGGCCGTTATATCTATACATGAAATATTTCATGTAAGTAGAAGAGAGAAAGAAATATAACTTATAATCAGGTTGTGCTGTACTTGTAGATATATGTACTTTCGAAAGATGTAAAAAAAAAAATTTTTTTTCAAAAGTTACTAACCAGAATAATCTTTTAATGTACATTCATTTACTAAATCTATCTTTTTATCAATTTCTAGCTGTCATTCATAAATTATTTTTTTTTACATCGCACTATATACTTTTATTTATTTATTTATTTATTTATTTATAGAATAATGAACTCAACAGCTTTAAGCCAATTACAGTTATTTAGAATAATTGCACAATAATATAGAAACTTGTACACATGTACTACAATACACACACAGTAATAAGATCATTGATAGCCAATATTTCAGGCGATATATAAAATTAAATTTACATTAATCATTATATTAATATATAGACTTTACAATAACATCAACAAACGTTCTTATATACTTGATCTGAGTCAATTCTATTTCAATAACATACTCATAAAAAATATATTCATGTACTATTAACATTTGTTCATTCTGAAAAAAGTGAGAAATCTTTGAGCTCCTTACATAATAAATAAATTTTTAAAAAATGCACTAAAATAAATTTATTACATTTTTATACATGAGCGCCCTTAGTATAATGAATTAAAATTTTACACTATTTATAGAATCTAAGAGAGCAGAAAAATTTATCGCTTCATATTATTCTCGTTAAAAGTATTTACTTAAGTTGTAGAGATGACTAAATAATTTTTAAATTAATCATAATTTCAGAAACTACATGAAGAATTCAATAAACTACTGGAACATAAAATTAGTCATCCAGAGCCAATTTTATGGGAATCTCAAGAGGGAAATATTCTCCGGTTTGTTTTACTCTCATTTTTTTGCATTATATTACTACCCATACAACAATCTTTCTGATTTGATTCAAAAACTTGCGGAAGATACTTTCATATGTCTCGTGTAAAATTCGTTTTTCTATATAACTATTCCTGACACTTGAGCATAAATTTATACTGTCAGCTTTCAGTTGCAAATATCTCAGCGAAAGTATGCCCGAAACTTCTTTGCCAAATTGCCTCTAAACTTAAATATAATCGCGTACGATATCATGAGCAGGACATACAGAATTCTTTAAGTCATGTTTCGGCAACAGTATTTACTGACAGACTTGAATGTATAAAAACACGAAAAAACGATAGCATTTTTCATAACTTACTTCCACCTAATTAACACAACATTGCTACAAAATTATCTCATATATGAATGTAATATCGTGCAATTTTTTTTTATTTACTACCTACCATAACCATGATAATTTGTTCTTCTATAATAAATAATGTTACATGGATATTTCTAGAATAACAATATTTATCAATTCACGAAATCGATTTGAATTTTTAAATAACTTTTTTACTAACAGATTTATATTGATTTAGCTGTAACCTATTTTGCAATTCGTTTCAGCTGTTAATAAAACTATATGGGTCATTCCATGTCAAATCGACCAATAGTTGGAATCGACCCCTTTCGATTTGGATGAATTTTGGTCAGAAGTTTTCTTTTATCATAAAACGAAGTTCTGCCAAAGGAAAAAAAAATAAAAAAATTTTTTCGAAAGATATGCAAATTCAAAATTTCGCGATTTTTCCAGTTTTTCAATTTTGTTTTTGCAATATCTCGAATGCTATTATAGATACAGGAATGGTCTTTCGTTTGTTTAAAAGAGGACACTTAGGGCTATTGAAAAAAAAATATTTTGGAAAAAAATTTTGAAAAATGCCAAATGATACCTTGTACTGATCTTAAAAGATCCTGAAATTTTTTGAAAGGGTTTTTTTTTTTTTTCAAAAAAAAAATTTTTTTGTTTTTTGCAGCTTCTATAAAAGGTAAAGTTATGCAGATACATAATATTGTAATCTTGAGTATTTAAAAATCAAATGCACGACGTGAAAATATTAAATAATAAATAAATTTCAACTTCTTTTTTTTTTTTAGACATAATCTTAGTCAGGTTTAACGCATGATATTATCTCGAATGCTATTATAGATACAGGAATGGTCTTTCGTTTGTTTAAAAGAGGACACTTAGGGCTATTGAAAAAAAAATATTTTGGAAAAAAATTTTGAAAAATGCCAAATGATACCTTGTACTGATCTTAAAAGATCCTGAAATTTTTTGAAAGGGTTTTTTTTTTTTCCAAAAAAAAATTTTTTGTTTTTTGCAGCTTCTATAAAAGGTAAAGTTATGCAGATACATAATATTGTAATCTTGAGTATTTAAAAATCAAATGCACGACGTGAAAATATTAAATAATAAATAAATTTCAACTTCTTTTTTTTTTTTAGACATAATCTTAGTCAGGTTTAACGCATGATATAATTTTTTATTTTTTTAACGCATGATATATTTTGTCCGTTTCTTCACTTCAATTGCAGTTTTTAACCTCAAATAATTCAAACAGATATTAATTTTCTATAAAAATTAGAAATAATTTCATGAGAATATCAACTTTTTTTTGTTCTTTCGAATACTTATTTACTTACGAATCTCTGCACATTCATAGTTCTCAATCTCAAATTATAAATTATTCCCATGTTAATAAGACGACAAGTGGCGTCAACAACTTCAAATAAAGTAAAAAAGGACAATTAGCAAACTCGATCATGCGTTAAAGATGACTTATTTTAAGGATGCAAGATTATGTCCAAAGAATAAAAAAAAGTTGAAATCAATTTATTATTTAATATTTCCACGTCGTGAATTTGATTTTTAAATGCTAAAAATTACAATATTATGTATCTGCATAACTTTACCTTACTTATAAGTTTCAAAAAACAAAAAAAAATTTTTTTTTGAAATTCAAAAATTCATATTTTTGAAAAAAAAAACCCTTTCCAAAAATTTCAGGATCTTTTAAGATCAGTACAAGGTATCATTTGGCATTTTTCAAAATTTTTTTCCAAAATATTTTTTTTTTTAATAGCCCTAAGTGTCCCCTTTTAAACAAACGAAAGACCATTCCTGTATCTATAATAGCATTCGAGATATTGCAAAAACGAAATTGAAAAACTGGAAAAATCGCGAAATTTTGAATTTGCATATCTTTCGAAAAAATTTTTTTATTTTTTTTCCTTTGGCAGAACTTCGTTTTATGATAAAAGAAAACTTCTGACCAAAATTCATCCAAATCGAAAGGGGTCGATTCCAACTATCGGTCGATTTGACATGGAATGACCCATATATTTTTGATAGATCAGTTACATAATAATTTTGATGATGCTTATTTATATGTTTCAGAGCAATCATAAAATTTATAACTCAATCAAGCAGAGGTTGAAATGATCATTTATATGATAACTACATTAATTGCTACACTAATTCGTGCCAACTTTAACATGATTTAAATAATATTAACTAGAAATTTATAACTTCTGTGAGCTCGAGTGGATAATCTGACTCGAATATGCGGTTAAAACATTTTTTATAAAGTTATGTAGTGTTTTAGTGTCAAACATAGCTATTCAAAAAATCATTAATTACTGATATAATTAAGAGCAAAAAATAACAATATAAATATTATTGTAAGAGTATGAGTTTAAATTTAATTTATTGACAATGCGGCAGCCCAGAGAATGTACGAAGAAAATATAAAGTTAAGATGAAGTTACGAACAATATTATAAATGATAAATAACCCTTTACTCAAATGTAAAATAAGGAAAGTGATTTAAACTTAGTCTTTACTCTAAATCTTTAATCTAAGCAAACGAATTATTTAACTAAAATCAATTGATAATTGATCAAGCTTACGGATAGTACTACCTGGTAGTATGACACATTGATCTGAGTACAGCAGATTTTCAAGTAGATCTTGACGTTTTGAAGTCTTAAGAAGCTATTCTATTTTTCACGGTAATGTGTGTAGGTGTATGTGTGCGTGTGTAAACTTCTCATAACTTTTGAACACAAACCGATCGAAATGTGGCTTGCGGCATCTGGAAAATTTTCACTCAATTTAAATTTCTTAAAAATGTGAATTAAATAAGTCGAATTCATTTGAAGAAATCTCAAAAATACAAATTGAATAACAAAATTTAATCAACTCTATTTCTAAAAAATAAAGAAAAATACAGCGTTCAATAGTGCTGATCGAATCAAAATCAAAGCTTGAAAAAAAATTTCGACGCGAATAAATACATTAATTTATCTGAAAATGTATAAATCTATATCGTGTGCCGAAAGGTAAAAGGGCACATAATTTTTTTTTCATCGCTCATCAACTGGTAGACATATTCTACGCATAAAAATCAAACGTTGGTTTTCGAAAGCTAGAAGGGCCTTTGTCTTTAAATATGCGCCCTTTTAGTTTTAAGAATTTGAAAATTTTATGACTTCAAGCTAAAAGAGTCTGTGAATTTTTTTTTCTGATCAATATCATAACAGCCAGTCCCTTCTTTTTCCATGTTTACAAAGCTATTGCAGTTTTATGTTTTTCTTTTAAATAAATGAGAATTTTTTAAAAAAAAAGCTCTGCTATGAAATCGATAATTAAAAAATCTATTACGTAGCAGAGCGTTTTTTTCAAAATTCTTCTTTGTCTAGGAGAGAAATATAAAGCTGCAATCGTACAGACCGGCTATTAAGTCTATAAATTAAAGAAAAAATAGTGCAGTCAAATGAGCGTATGCTAGCTGTACGCTCTTTTAAAATTAGATTTAGAAATATTTTTAGAAAAATCACAAAATGTATAAAAAATTAAAAAATGAACATTATTAAATTTTTAAAAAAATTATTCTGATTTATGGCGTGCCCATAATCCAAGACAATAATGAAAGAAAAAATCAGTATATTTCGATTTTTTTTTTTATAATTTTAATGAACGATTTATTTTTAAACGAAAAATTGATATTGTCATTGTTTCATTATGTATATTGTAATGAATTTCGAGAAAAAAAAATGTGCTGTAGGTCAAAAAATTTCAGTTGTATGAATTTTATGCTCAGAAACTGAGCAACTGAAAAACTGAACAATTATTTTCGTTTTGCTTTTTTAGTAGATTTCATAAAAATCTAACTATTGCATTGGTTCTCATGACGGAACTTTTGAAAAATTTTGCTATATTTCGACTCAGCTCGTCAAGCGGATTCAGAAAATGCATATGGTTCAAAAGTTTATATATGTA